TGAAAAATGAGAAACCATTACCCAGTAACTCTGAATTCTGAATAGATGAATCAAAATGAGTCTCTGATACTGCCAATATACTAATTGAATTAACAAGCACCAAATCATTTAAGTCATGTATCTTATTCCTTATGCTACAAATGATTACATGTGCAATTACCAAGCCTTTATTTGGAAGCTTTAAAGGTCCCGATGTCATTATTTAGGATGAGAAAGTCAGAAGTCAGATGTACATAGTTCAGGAACTTTTTCTGGGTTTGATGATCAGCTTGTCGTACGTCAGCACTGCAGAATCACCCCTTTCCCATGCAGCCCGCAGCTCAGGCATCAACTCCTTCCTTTTCTTCTTGATTAGGTTGGAGTAGTCTTCATTGATGTAAATCTGTGTTCCTTTGAGTTTCTTTGCCTGTGATTGTATCATCTGTTTGTCCTTGTAACGCAGGAGTTTGACTATGATCTGTCTCGGCCTGCTTTCATCCAACTTCCCGACTCAATGGGCCCGTTCTATTTCAATATCATTTACATTCAAGCCCAATTTCTTTCCCAGTATCTCTTTCACTTTAATTTCTGACTTTTCCCAATTTTCACCTTTATCCTCAGGGACACCGTCAATAATTATATTGTTCCTCCGTGATTGATTTTCCAAATAATCCATTTTTCTCTCAATCCCATCAAGGAACTCGACAGATTTTGCCAGATCTTCCTCCAGTTGTTTCAGGTTTTTTCTCACGTAACACATTGTCCTGACTCTCCAGTTTTCCATGAGCAAACTAGTCTTGAGTTCATGTATCTCTTTAATTGCACTGTCCACTCTCTTATGCACACCATCTGAGATCATTTCAACACAGATTTAAAGTTCTTACTTTGCTGCTCCAGCAGCTCTCTGTAAAAGTCCTTTTGTTGCTCCATCATGGCCTGAAGAGTAGACATAGTCACCAACTCATCATCTGGATATTTCTGAGCTTTGGGTGGCATCTTTTTTTTTCCCTGTTAAAGGGTTTTTTTTGGGGTGTTTTTCCTTATCCGCTGTGAGGGTCCTAAGGACAGAGGGATGTCGTATGCTGTAAAGCCCTGTGAGGCAAACTGTTATTTGTGACATTGGGCTTTATAAATAAAATTGATTGATTGATTGATTGATTGATCTTGTGGAGAAAACTCAGATGCACCTCTGTCAGTGGCTTGAGTTTCCAACACAGAGGAGTAGGCCTTGATTTCAAAAATCTGTGCAAAATCCCTCTTTGTGAACTGCAACCATAGCTCTTTCCACAAAACTTGTATAACTATGTTTAACTTACACAAATGAGTATTTGATCAGTATTTGATGAGTATTAAAGGACAACTTCGGTATTTTTCAACCTGGGCTCTATTTCCCCATGTGTATTTGTGCGTATGATTCATAGGTACAACTCGTTCTAAAATTGGTTCAGTATTGAGCCACGAAACGAGCTAAAACGGTAATGGGGGCAAATGCGTCCCGTATAAAAGTGCTTTTTTTCGCCACTGACCGGTTCAGATCGCCAGTGTTGTCTCTGTAGATAGCATATTGTAGCGGCCCTGGGGCAGTGGTGACTGTGAATGAGTGGAGTCAGTTGTCAGTCAGTCTTGGAGCAGAGAGGCGGATGGCATCCCCGCTTGGTAATGTAAATGAGTATGTGTGTGTGTGAAGTGTGTGTTATGCTAGAAGAGTCAGAGGACGGAGTCTTTTACGTGCTACCCCCTGGAGTGTTACCGGAGTTTTTGGAGTGCTTAAATAAACGGGCCTTTTTCCCAAACGCAACAACAGGATGTCGCGCAACACCCCGTAAGTTACAGCTTTCATAGGCTGCCTTTGTCGGATGGCGAGATGCTGAAGTTGTGGCTAGTTGTGCTACAAATGGATGCTAACACTCCTGTCCAGACACTGCGCCTTGCAGACCATCGGGTCTGCAGTGCTCCCTTCTCCCAAGATGACTACTGCCAGCCGAAGAAGAGAAGACATCCAATCCCGAAACACCTCTTCCTCAAGAAAATGGCTGTCCCACGAGTAGAGAGAGCTACAGACACAGTGGAGCAAAGCTCGTGACATCACACAGCCCAGAGGTAAGGGAAAGGCTAAGTTAGTATGCTATTTAGCCTACAAAGATAGGACTGGCGATCTGAACTGGTCAGTGGCAAAAAAACACACACTTCACACACACATACTCATTTACAAGACCGAGCGGGGACGCCCTCCGCCTCTCTGCTCCAACACTGACTGACAGCTGTCTCCACTCATTCACAGTCACCACTGCCCCAGGGCTGCTACAATATGCTATTTACAGAGATAGCACTGGTGATCTGAACCAGTCAGTGGCGAAAAAAAAAGCACTTTTATACGGGATGCATTTGCCCCCATTACCGTTTTAGCTTGTTTCGCGGCTCAATACTGAACCAATTTTAGAACGAGTGGTACCCATGAATCATACGCACTCATGGGGAAATAGAGCCCAGGTTGAAAAATACCGAAGTTGTCCTTTAAAGAGTATTTGTTAATTTAAGCAGCAGGGCAGAGGAGAGCATATGACATGCAGTCTCCACGGGTTCAATAATGCTGTTGCAGTATTGAGTGTAGATTGATGAGGAAAATGAATTTAAATGATTTTAGCACTGCATAAGGCTGCAACAAAAAATGTAAAAAAAATATCGAGGGATGCACAATATCGGATTTTTTTTTGGCAGATATCTGATATCTGATTTCGGGGCGGCTGTGGCTCAGAGGTAGAGCGGGTTGTCCACCAATCGGGAGATCAGCGGTTCGATCCCCGGCTCCTCCAGTCAGCATGTTGAAGTATCCTTGAGCAAGATACTGAACCCCAAATTGCTCCCGATGATGCTTCCATCGGTGTGTGAGTGTGTTAAAAACTGAGTAGCAGGTGGCACCTTGTATGGTAGCCGGCCACCAGTGTATGCATTGGTGAATGTGTATCGTAGTGTAAAAAGCGCTTTGAGTGGTCGGATGACTAGAAAGGCACTATACAAATGCAGGTCCATTTACCATGATATACTGATTATATAACAACTTATTTGGGTGATACTGATATCGATATTTTCACTTTTTTTCCCACCTAATTTAAGTGATCATCAAGTCCCTTCAGAATTAATATCATATTATGCATGCATAATGACATGACACAGAATGCTTTTCAGTGTATGTAATATTTATTCATTGTGCAAAATAAGAAAAAAAGCATGTTGGCTGATTCTGATAATTCACTTTAAGGCCAATATCAGCTGATATCGATGGCATGCTGATATTATCATACATCAAAGTTTTAACTGCTGGACAGCAGTGCTGTAGTGGTTTCTGCTCCATGTGACTGGATGTTTTTTTTAACCCTTAAAGATCCTTTTTATTGTTTGCATTACTGTCTTTTATTTACTATGGTTTTATTGACTGAAAAATATATTTTGGAATTCTGTTTTTGAATTAATGACATAGACAGATAGCCTACTGAAAGAGGCCAAGACAGAGAAATGCATTAAATAGAAAGAGGAGAGAGAAAGAGAGAGAGCAACAGGCTGACTGATGATGTCATGTTATTGGGCGGACATGTTCAAATGTCACAAAGTCTTCAAAGTATTTGTTTGGGTGACAGTTTTTCTGATCACTCAGAAAATGCTGATTTAACAAAGAAAAGAATAAAAGTAACTTTGCAAGTAGCAAGCAACTTTTGCGATGTTCTCGTACCTTAGCTTGCTACATTCCTCTGGGATAGCTTCAGTGTAGTAAAACTTTATTTTAATGTAGAGTTTAGCTTGCTACATTTTCCAAGTAGTTTGCCCATCACTGGTAATAACAGAACAAAATATTGCGCAAAACCTACCCCAGCTGACATTGGGCGAGAGGCAGGGTACACCCTGTACAGGCTATTCCAGGACTAACACATAGAGACAGACAACCATTCACACTCACATTCACACCTACAGCCAATTTAGAGTCACCAATTAACCTATCCCCAACCTGCATGTTTTTGGACTGTAGGAGGAAGCCGGAGTACCTGGAGAAAACCCACGCTGACACGGGGAGAACATGCAAACTCTGCACAGAAGGGCTCCCTCCTGGGTTCGACCCAGGAACCCTCTTGCTGTGAGGTGACAGTGCTAACCACTACACCACTGTGCCGCATGTGATCGCAACAAGTAACACAAATTCAACCAATCTCTACTTCTCCAACCAACCAATTCTGCAGGACCATGCAATTTTGTCCGATAACCAGCGTCCCATGACTTCCACCAATAATAACAGTCCCCCACGCAAATGTAATAGACGTCACTACATTAACTTCCTTGTTTATGGTTTGAAGATGCAGGCATGTGTGATTCTAATGTCTCACATTTACCAACAAAAATTACTGCTAAAGACCGTGCAAAACAATTCCCTGATGTTCTTCACGAAAGTGGAGGAAAACTGTTTTGCACCCCGTGCAATATTGTGGTGGAACACAAAACGTATATCATTGATTGACAAACACTTTTATGCTGCGAAACATATTCAAACTAGTGGACCACAGACCAGACAAATCATCGTGACAGACGCTATTGCATCCAAATCTGTTGCAAGCGCTGAATGAATGACGGTAAGTTAGATTAAATATGCGTTGGTAACGTTAGTTTACTTTAATTGCAAAGTAAGAGAGGTGTGCTAGCCTGTTAATGTGACAAGCTGTGTGTGTGTGTGTGTGTGTGTGTGTGTGTGTGTGTGTGTGTGTGTGTGTGTGTGAATACATGTGTGCCAGGATGGGAAATTAACCTTTTAAAATGTGAACATCTACCAGCCACAGACAGACATTCAAAATCAATTCATTCAATAGTAAATTATTTTGGGTTTTAAATCTACCAGCAACTTCATGTTAAATCAGCATTTGGCTGGTGCTAATTTCCCACCTTGGTGTGTGTGCTTGTGTAAATGCGTGTGTGTTGAAGAAAATAGTTAAGTTGTCATCAAGCTAAAAAAAAAAAAAAAAGCAATTTTTTTTTGCACTTTTCACTGTCTCCCACACTTTTATTGCAACAAATATACTTAAAAAAATTGCAACTTTCATCCCAATTTTTAAGAAAAGCTGCTGTGAAATCAGGCAATTTAGGCCACAACAATCTTGAAAAAAGCATGCAAAATGCTGGGGGAACTGCTTTATACACCCCTGTGGTTTTCAGAAAGGTTCAGTTATTTCTTTTTTGTTGGCTGAAATGCAAGAGACATTTCTCAATCATTCAGTTTATAAAAAGTGGGACATTAAAAACAGCCACTTATAGTGGGAAAATATCAAAGGGTGCAGAAAGATGTGAACAAATACAAACAGTTTTTAATTGTGAATTGGTCATATTTTATCACAACAAGGCAGTGAAAAAAGTTAGACCCATTTCCCATTGAAATCGCAGGCCTAGTCTTTGGCTCTCTTACATTTTGAAAAGAAGAAAATAAAATCTAAATTTCAAACAACACATTACAGTACAAATGTCATCTAAAAGATTCGTTCCTAAGAAAGCTCCTTCAAAAAAGCAGAGATAGGATATGAAATATATATATGTATAGGTATGAAAACTACATTTCCTATATAGAGAATTGTGTGCTCTTGACAAAAGGATGACCTTACAATATAGAAAATCTAATAAATATATAAAACAAAAATAAATATACAATAGTTAAGACAATGAGTGGAAAAAAAAATGTTACAAAAGACTCAAACCCTTGTAGTGTGTGTGTGCTGTGTGTGCTGTGAATGAAGACATTTAACAAGCTTATCACTACAAAGGACAATTAGCTCGATGTTGAAAAAAAATCTTAGATTTTGAGAATAAAGTCATACATCTACGAGAATAAAACCATAATATTAAGAGAATAAAGTCAGAAATCTACAGTAAAGTCAGAAATCTGTTGGAATAAAGTCATAATACTACGAAAATAAAGTAGTAAATCTACGAGAGTTAAGTCGTAATATCATAAGAATAAAGTTGTAAATCTACAAGAATAAAGTCATAATATCACTAAAATAAAGCAATGAATCTACAAGAATATAGTCAGAATATTATGAGAATAAAGTCATAAATCCATGAGAACAAAGTCGTAAATCTATGAGAATAAAGTCATAATGTTATGAGAATAAAGTAGCAAATCTACAAGAATAAAGTCATAATATTACAAGAACAAAGTTGTACATCTACAAGAATAAAGTAGTGAATCTACGAGAATAAGGTCGTAAATCTATGAGAATGAAGTTTAAATGTTACAAGACTAAGCTTGTAATCACACTGGATAAATGAAAAATGATCACAAAAATAAACAGTTTTTGGGTGGTAATGCATTACATTACATTGTAAATGTAATAATATCACCTGAAATCTTGTTGGCAACGTGTTATATTACTTTGGTACTGCTAAAATATATATTACTGTCACCCTTACCACTGTTTGTACACACTTTGTTGCTTTTTATATCATGTTACCTGACTTAATAGTTTTAATCTGTGACTATTTTTTCTCTAGATATATGAATTTATTCTTGTAGATTTGCGACTCTATTCTCTAAATCTAAGACTTTTTTTTTCTTTGGCCCTAACCCTCCTTGTATGAATGTATCAGATAATTGTGACATTATGTAAAACATATTATAAGTACAGTATCTGTTTACCACTGTACTGGTGCTGATCCCCAGGGATCTATGTCTCATCATTCAGTGTTCCCCTAAATGTTACTACCTGTGAGAGATAATGTAAGTGAGACTTCAAGATGAAAGCCACTCTGTGCAAAAACAAAAAATGACTATTGTAATAAATATAGCTTAGTGCTGACTCTGTTATTTTCTCTGGTGAAAGACAGCCATGAAAGAATGGTGATGACAGGAGGACAAGTCTCACAAAGCTTGGTGAAATGAGCATGACCTCGGAAATATGGGTTATGAACACACACATCATTATCACCTGTTTGTCATGGGAGTTAGCAAACAATGATTTTTTTAATGAACGTGTTTATGGTAGAAGATATGATAACTAGATTTAGGCAAACGTTTTAACTGTTATGATTTGTACTCACTGAAGTTATTGCTGAGATTTGGGAACATAGTTACATTGCTCCAACGCAGTCCAGCAGGGCAAGAAATGAGCTGTTAGACGAGCCAATTTAGCCAGATTTTATAAATCCACTTTACTTAAGTGATCACAGTGCAAAGAGAAATGATGATAATAATGATGTCAGGGGTAAAGTGTTGCAAAGTAGCTACTACTTCTACTCAGGCCCACAGGAATGCTGCTCAGCCTTGCAGCAACTTTTTCCTGGTGGCCACTCATGGTACTGCAGTGAAAAATGCCCTGCGCCCAAAAAGGCATTTTCTCCGTAGACCACCATTGTCAAAGAGATGTCTGTAAAACCGTTGACAAGACACCTCAAACTGCAAACAAGGTCAATTATAACTCTTTCTGTTACGAATTTCTGATCCATGGAGGTTTAATATTTGTAAAACTTTCCTCAAGCTGAGAAAAAAAGCCTGTGATGTCATCACAATGATGAGCTGCACAGGAACTTGTGGGAGGAGCCAGCGAATAACACTACTGCGCATATTCACGTTTTTTTGGCATATGCTCCAGACAAACAACTCCACTGGAATGAGTTGATGCCATTTTGCCATCCAGTATCTACACATTATTAAAATCTATGCTTATACTACAACGTCTCTGTGGTTAGCTGTGTTCTAGTGGAAGGTATCCAATCCTGCAGTTGTGAAGTGCACATGTGAGGTTCAGCTGGTAAGATGGCAGAAACAGCCTTTATGATGTGGAAGCACCTGAATATGTGGGTGAAAAGTACAGGAATGTCACAATGAAATGCAAACTGAGATGTGATAGGGAGCGATTAAACTGTACTGCATTAGGGCTGGGCAGTGGTACGACCTAAATAACCCAGTACCAAGTAGTATCAAAACTTCAAATGATACTTCTATTTGGTCCTTTATGTGCTGGGGATCTGATCCCACACTGTCCCAACTCCCCACCAAATAAGCATACTTTCTGTCGCTGTGTTTTTGGAGTCACTCTTCTCAGCGAATGGTCGGTTCAAAGTCTGCCCAGTAAGCACAAGCTAACGCAGCAGCAGTTAACATCCAACACCGGGCCGTTAAACAGTCCTAACAAACTCTCTGTTGCCGTCGTCTTCTGAGCTGTTGCCCACTCAGCAACACAAAGTTCAAAGTCTTCCTGGTTGGCACGAGCTAACACAGCAGCAGTGGCTAACATCCAACACTGAGCTGCTAAACATCCCAACAAACTAACACCGACAGTGAAACAGCTCGTCTCTATTGTTAAACTTGTTAACAACCATTACATCAGGCGAGTGAGAGGAGGGCGCACTTCGGTCTGTCATTCCTGTTGTTAGCCTCTAGAGTTACAGGACTAGACTATGCAATGATGGTATTGAATGAAGGAATTGCAAAGGTGTTTTCATTTTTTGTAATGTAATGTAAACTAACTGCACCACTTTTGATGATCTTTTTAGCCATGCTAGCAGCATGGCTCTGTTAGTTGGTCTAACCTTTGGTCCTGACTGGCATATCTCAACATCTACTTGATGGATCGCCATCAAACTTGTACAGTCCTTCCCCAGCCAACATTTGTATGTCAGGCTCATGTGAATAGTAAATGGGCTAAAAATGGGCCCTATATGGAATTGTCCATGGTTTCCATAATGGCCCCATGCCAGTTGCCCACATGGTTGGGCTGAATCAAGTGGGCCCCACATAGGTTATGTTAGGGCTACCTTGGTACGAAGTGGATATGGTCCCAAAGTGGGCATCTTATCACTTGGGTAAACCCACCCATGTGGGCAACTGACATAGGGCCAATACGGAACCTGTGGACAATCCCATATAGGACCCATTTTTCTGTTTATTTACGACCCATTTGGGCCCCACACACAATTGTTGGTTGGGTCCTAGTTCCCAGAGGACTCATTGTAATGACCTTGGTGATCCCATTCCTGAATTGATACTTTGGGTAATGAAAATTCTTGCAAAGCAAATGACATTCCAACTAAGAACATGGGAAACATTATACAGTACCATAAACCTGTGGTTCTCAACCTTTTTTCAAGGACCCCTAAACTGATACACATTAGGTCACAGACCTTTGTGATAAGTTTCACTTCACAGACGATCTAAGAAGATTTTAGTTATTAGACATGATTCTGATTAGAATTTAGTTATCAACTACAGTCACTCTTGTGACTCTTACTCACACTAGGCTCTCTTCTATAGTGAATTAAATAGTGAAAACAAACCATTCTCTATTTTTTGTGGACCCACTGAAAATTCCTGTAGGACCCTGGCAGTATCACTGCTCCAAACATCAGCATGCTAACGCTGTTCTTGTTAACCTGCTACCATGCATATGTAAGCAATTCAACTTAGAGACTTAGCTGTCTCTAAGTAAAGCCTGACTGCTAGCAAGGCTCTTAGTCTTCTTTAGTGATTCCCAGATCTGAGTTATGAACTTAGTGAGTACAATCTTATCATTGCAGAAAGAAAGGATGGACCAACCTACCAAAATGAGACCAAAGTTGCAATAAACTGGAATATTTTTTAATGTTTTAGAAAAAACTCTTGACCCAAACCTGCTTTATGGTTGCTAAATTTAAAGGCCAGTGTATCCGCCCTTTCACTGTCAAACCAAATCTAATGTTTTTTTCACTATATAATCTTGGGAAAATTATATTTTTGGGCACCTTCCAAGCACAAAGCATCTTATTTGTCCTTTTAGATATGCTAATTTCATGAAATTTTGAGAGACTGGGTTGTACAGGGCTAACCCTGGAAATCTGTGTTGGTTGAAAACCAAACTGGTGTTGGGATCACACCAAGCCGTTGACCAGCCCCTTCTCACACTCCTCTGCCAAACGCCTCCAATGCTGCCGGTTCTTCTGACATCCTTCCAACAATGGGGAGCAATACTCTGACATGCCTGCCAAAGTCTGTGACAGTGACAAAGGCAACATATTTAACAAGGAAAGATTCAGTGAATAAATACAACATTCATTCATCTTTCCAGCAAGTGGAAAATAATACGATGGATGTCCACCACTGGCATTGGCAAAATGCCTTTTCCAGCTATTCAGCTGGGACAGTGATTTTCAAAGACAACCATCATTACAAGTTTAATTTTAAAATTACCTCATATAACTGAGTGCAGATGGCATCAATGAAGGACACCTGCATGCTGGGAATCTTATCTCTTTTGTCACGATTCATCAGGTCCTAAAGTGAAAAGATGGAAAGAATGACATGTTAACCAAATTAAAAGAATGCAAAAATGATTGCATTCAAATGTTTGCAAATGACAGCATTTTCCACTTTCTTCAGTTTCTTGCTTGGAAACGCACGAGAGAAACACAACATTGATTTACGATTGTGGTGACCTCCTCCCAGGCTACCTTTGCATCATCAGCCCGTGGAGGTCTGCTCGCATTTCCGTATATTCGGACACTGCGAGCTTGGACCTCCCGGACCAAAACATCAGTTTCCTCCTGGGAGAAGTTTGGCCATCTGACGCTGCTGCTCTCTTCTGCCATGGCGAATTGAGTAAACTCTCATTACGCCTTTGCGCGGCGCATTTAAGGGCGAGGAGAGGGGCTCATTTGATTGGTGTGATGTGTGTAAAACCCACTCCACGCCTTCTCTCCTCCCTCTTTCCGACTTGTGCAGGTAGGAGGGACGGAGGTGGGAAAGAGGAGTAGCTGCACCAGCGCACACGGTGTGCCAAACTTGCAAAATCTGCCTGGCCACACCCAGTTGGCGAAGTGCAGGTGCGCTGCGCCTCAGCCTCGCCCGGTCTGTGAAATGAGAGGCCAGTGTTTTGCAGCAGATTATATGGCTTAATTCCAATATTGTGATTGAAGGGAAAGCAGTTTTTTGAAGAGTCTTTTTGAACAGGGTGTTTTGTTCATAAATGATCTTGTTAATGAAGAAGGAAATCTTATGAGTTACAACCAATTCACTGATACGTATGGTAGTATTTGTTCCCTCCAATCCTTTAATCAACTCTTTCTGCTCTTAGAATGCTCTTGAAAAGAAAAAAGTGGGATGGAAATTATAAACTGTCAGTCTGTCAGCCAGCTATAAAAAAAAATCACAAATGGCTGCAAAACAGGAAGATAAATCGAAACATTTATAATTTTTACTTAACATACCGGTCCTTAGGAAGTATTCCTTACAATACTTATCAAAAATGGGAGGATACTTTAGACTGCCCTATACCATGGAAATGGGTTTTTGGTTTGATATATAAAACAACTGTTGACTCATTTACAAGATATTTTCAATTGAAAATAATTTATAATTTTCCCACAACTAGAAAAATGCTAAACATATGGGGTATTAGGGAATCAGACGAATGCCGGTTTTGTGGAACAGCATCTGAATCAACAGTCCATCTTTTTTAGTACTGTCACATTGTATCCACATTTTGGGGTGAGTTTCAAAAAATGTGCTCAAAAATGAATTTACACCTGGAGCTGACCCTCTTCTCTGTGATGCTGGGTGATGCTACAGAAACAAAGACCTATACTGTTAATTTATTTATTATTATTTTTTGTCTGTTGGTTTGTTTCTGTTTGTGTTATGATAGAGTGATGCTGTTTGTTTGTATTGTGTGTAAGGAAAAAAAAGAGAAGAAGAAAAAAAAGAGATAGAGAAAAGGTCCCCACTAGGGGTGATGGTGGTTGGGTTTAGGAAAAAAAGAAAAAAAAAAAGAAAGATATGATTCATTATGTAATTTAGGATCAAAAATAATACCCTGATTGTTTGCATGATGACTTGAAAAGTAAAGATTAGGGAGATTGGAAAAGTCTCAATTTTGGCTGAGTAACCGATTACAAACACTCACGAGATTTGTCACGGTTTTATTGAAAACTATAATTATGTTGGGATTCACTGGACCACAGATGATTTGTCATTTGTTAAAATCTAAACTGGACATGTGAAAGCTTCTCCTCTTGCCATTTGAAATGGTAAGAGACCTCATGTTCTTTGTTCTTCAACAGAGGACAGTTATTTGACACCCATCCCCACAGGATGCTCCACCTCACACCTCAGTGAGGCACAAGTCTGAAACTGGATTGGACGGTACTTTTATGGTGTCATGTGACTCTGTCATGTCAATAGGCAACTGTAGAAGTTCTGCTCCTTTCACACAGTCTTTCTCTTTCCTGTTGTGCCCTTGAGCAGCCCAGAGGTGCTCTTTTTCCTCCTGGGCTCTGACCACCTCAGAGACCCTTGCCCCCGAACCACTAAAGGGAGAGCAATTTCTCTCAGACTCTCTTTCTCCTGGACCACGACGTGCCCTTGCTCATGGCAGGAGCAAACCCTGGAAACCAGAGAAATTAGTATGCAAACACAAGGACTGCAGCTAACTTTCCAGCAGCAAGGAAAACCAAGTTGAGTTAGCAACCAAGCATCTAACTCTGCACAGACCCTGAGCAACCAGCCTCCTTGGATCAGAACCTTCGGAACAAGGACGCAACAAAGACTGCTTCTGGAACCACAGCTCTTTCCAGCTTTCCCCTGCTGGCTATCAAAAGCAGTACGCCTCAATCCAACTCTTTCTTACATCCATTCAAGGATTGGTAATGGGCATAGCTTTATCACAGCTGTACAGGCTAAGCAAGACTTGTTGAATGTGATTTAATGCTGTTTATTGAGTCATAGTTGTGATTGTTTGTAGTTAGGTTATTGGCTAGTTGGCTTTGCCAAAGCTACGTGAGGTTAGTTTGCTAATGCTGTTCTCAGACAGAGTCTTACATGCAACTAAATATCCTCTGCACTAATCCAGACCCTTTGCAACACATATCACATTCACATAGACTCATTTACAAATTCGCTTTCAACAGAGCAACACCCAAAGACAAAAATCTACCTTCTTTTCCTTTGTCTTTGTCCTGACCACACGGTCAGACAACACCTCCCCTGATCTGAAGCCAGCTTTGATTTGGTTATGTTGTATATAGTTAGTTAGTTAGATTTTGTGTGTTTTTGTTTTGCTTTGCTTCCTTTATGAATAAATATATTTTAGGAATTGTATCTGCTGTCTCACAAGAGTGAATGAATAGTTAACCTCTGCTACGTCAAGAACTGAAATTCATCAGGCTTTACTATCAAATTTGGTTACTGTTATTATTATATCCATGTCTTTAAAAACATGGATGCTTCACCCACATCTTTCCCCCTGGCAGCACAGGAGATCTGTACAATCAGCATCATTTCAAGGTGGGCACCCAAGATTAGTGTTACTAATTCAGTATGTGACCAAATGTCTCCCCTTCTGTTCCTGAGATATGATGTTGAATAATGGCCAGAAAAGTGTTTTATGCAGAACAGATGGATGCAAAGTCACAGTGACCTTAATCTTGACCACTTAAGTCTAATCAGTTCATCATTAAGTCCAAGTGAACATTTGTGCCAAATTTGAAGAAATTCCCTCAAGGTATTCTTAACATAATGCTTTCACAAGAAAGAGATGCATGCAAGATCACAGTGACCTTGACCTTGACCACCAAAATTGAATCAGTTCATTTTTGAGTCCAAGTGGACGTTTGTGCCAAATTTAAAGAAATTGCCTCACAGCATTCTTAAGATATTACGTTCACAAGAATGGAACGGACAATACGGAAATATAATGCTTCCAGCCCGGGCTATCACCAGTGCAGAGGTATTTAAAAAAAAAATAAAACGAAATAACTCTTTAGTTTTAGCATTTGCACTCTTAAATAAGATGCCATGTCTTTTGATGATAACAACTGGGTCAAAGCACATAAATATTAAAAACCAAGGGACCAAACATGGATCCCTGAGGCACACCACAGCTTATGCTGTACTTTTTAGAAAGGTTTTCGTCACAGAATAGAAGCGACACATTGCACTTACACTGGGCTCAATGTTCAGCTCTCGTCTCTCCTTATCCCCCTGTTCAAAGAACTCAGTGGCGACCAGCTCCGCAATCTGTATCAGAGAGAGGACACCGGTGAGGTCAAATTGAATCTTTAATTTAAAGCAGACCTCCAGCTGATGAGACAGAATATGACAAAAAGACTTGTACATAATTAACAACATTAACACTTTTAGTTCAAAACACATTTTACTACAAGCAAAAACTGGTAAGAGTGGTTTTCATCGTTTATACACAAGCAAACTATTAATGTACCACAACAGGGAAAAAAAATAGTCAGTTAATGTTCCACAGATTCCACACCTCAAACTAAGCTTCCACAGTTTTCTCTCTTATCATCACTATCAAATCCTCAGCTTGGATTAGACACAACTCCATCTAAGGTGAAATGCAAAAATCTATGCAAATCACACTGCTGTTCTATTATTGTACTTAACCTTTTAAACTCTCTGGCGTACTTGTGGCAGTTTGATTTTCAGTGGAGGCATTTTAAAGAACATCATAGGAGGTTGATTTTAAGAACAAGGTTGGGACATCCTACCATGGAGAAGACATAATGCGTCTTCTGCTGCCAGAGCCAACATTGTCAAACTTTGACAATGTGAAGTGACTGAAAAAACAATAAGACAGACCAAGAATATATACAAAGAAGGCAAGAAAAACACAAGACGAATTGAGGAAAAACAAAAGCAAAAACAAAAGCAGGCAAGAAACACTAAGACAGAAGAAATGTAAAAGAGAAAAAGTAGGTATGTAGAAAGGCTAGTCAGGATAAAAAAAAAGTAAATACAGTAAGAAGAAGGAGAGGTCTGCCAAAGGAGTGGTAGTCACTCTAAGTTAATGGTCTCCATCTGTTTACAGAGAGTTAATGAGATTTGACTGCAGCCTCGGGCTCCAATCAGTATCACTCAGTGAGTGTTTGTTAAAGTCATCTGCAGCTCATTGATTGAGTCTATAATAAAGGCTCAGTACCACGGAGTTGCAGGCGGACTCAGCCAGAGAGAGGGCTTATTATAGCTGACTAAAAACCAACAGTAGGCATGTAGCAAATGTTAACCAGTGAGGCTATGTAACTGTCTTTATTTACTCGTCAGCCAAAATACCAACATTTTTCGTCTGCATAGCGAAGCAAGTTAGCTCCATGTCAAAATAATTTCAGTGGTCTGGGACTGCTTCATTAGACTTCCAACAACAGCAAGAAACACCTACTACTGGGTTTATGAAAGCATTTCAAACGGTTGATGTTGGAGAATGCTTGCACATGTAAGCCATATGCTCATGAATAGTATGGTCAAACAAGTAAAACTTGGGAACACTGGTCACCTATGGCCACCTAAATTAAAACTATGTCAAAACTGACCCCAAATAGACTTGAGATTGAGACCAGAACAATGTGAATCTTTAAAGATAATTCTGGTTTACAGCAGCATTCAAAAGTGCTTCATAAGGCAGCAAAATAAAACAGACAAGTCATAAAATCAGCAGGTTTTAAAGGAAAACAGATAAACAAAAAAACCTAAAACAATTTGGGGCCGGATCTACTAAGATCCCAATTTGCCTGTACTAATTTGCCTGTGCAATCTAGAATTCTCCATGTGGGGCTGAACTGCGGTTTGCCCGTGATTTACTAAGAGTGATTGCGTAAATGACAACAGGTGACAAACGTGTTGGAGACACCCTATTTAAATGAGGGTTTTGCGTGTTTTTTTGGTTTGCAGCATGGCGAGTTTGGAGAGAAAGCACAAAGTGAAATTCGACCCTATGGAATTAGAGGTGTTGGTAGATGAGGCCAATAAACACTTAAATGAGCTACAGCAAAGAAACCTGACTGTCTCACAAAGGAACGCTATATGGGAAGAAATCTGTGAAAAAGCAAATGCTGTTGGTAAAACGATGCGAACAGTGGATGAAGTGAAAAGAAGATATCAAGACATCAGAAGAAGAACAAAAGAAAAATTGGCGTATAATAAAACATCTGCAAATAAAACAGGTGGGGGCACAGTAGATGAGATGCCTCTGACCAACAGCCAGGGACAGGAGAGGGAGGAGAGGTGCGCACGGTGGGCAAGTTCCACCTGCGTAAAAGGAAACACAAATAATACACTCAACTGTCACGTTTAAGTTTTCTTATATTGGCTATGAATATTCATTTTGTGTAAAATAGGCTATACGATAAAGAACTGTTTAGTTTTGTTTTTTTGCCACGATAAAAGTTAGAACTATAGCATTCTCCTACGGCATGCCATTATGCTCCAGCACATGTTGCTTGGCGATGTTATGTAGCATGCAGCAGGTCACTACAATCTGGGCCACTTTTTCTGGCCTGTACAGCAGTGCTCCTCCAGTGCAATCCAAACAACGGAACCTGCTCTTCAGGATTCCAAAGGTGCGTTCCATAATATTCCGTGTGCGGATATGGGCCTCGTTGTACCTTATCTCTCCGGCAGTGGTCGGGTTGAGAACAGGTGTCAGGAGGAAGGGGTGTAGGGGGTATGCATTATCAACTTAAAAACATATGAATCAATATGAAACACGCTCTTGTTTTTAATGTAATTATTTTACAAAGGATTTTACAAATTGACTCTCCTACAAGCCAGCCATCTCCAAACTTGCCATCTCGCAACTTGGAAAACAGAAAACTGTTTCTCAGAATAAAAGAATCGTGTACTGACCCGGGATATTTTGCCACACCTTTGGTAATGGCATTTAGGACTTCAGACAGCACATCTGAAAAACGGGATTGGAAGATCCCAGCTGTAATAGCTACCTTACACTGGAATGACCCAGATGCAAAAAAATGTAAACTTGCAAGGAGTTTTGTTATTGCAGGTATTGCGTGACTCCTTCTCATGGCTGGCTCCAAATCCGCTCTGTGTTCCTCCAACAGCTCCAAAATGGCAATACTGGATAGGCGTTATATTTTGATGACTGTTTCCTCATTCATTCCAAAAATGTTCACACAAGGGTGAAAAATGCGTTCTCTGCATCTTCTTTCATTGTTTCTGTGTCTCCTTCTTGCAACAATAACCGCAGCCATGTGTGCACAATTACGCATACAAACGGTTTGCACCTCCCTTTGACATGTGTTAAATATAGACGCAGTTTCTATTTGCAAAATTGCTTTCAGGTTTGATAAATCATTTTGCGTGTGCGAAATTAATAAATTTACATTTTCTCCTCCCAGCACACACACAATTGCGTGTAAACACCCCATATTGCATGTTCATTGCAGCAAACGTACTAACTGGATGCAGACGCGCTATTTTGCACCTTTGAAAGACGCAACCCTTTGTGCGCACTGTTAGTAAATCAGTTTGTACATTTTTTTGCATGTGCAATGAGTTTGCACGCGTTTTTATACACGCAAACCTTTAGTAGATGTGGCCCATGGTGTATAAAAACTGAGCAAAATTACCTTGTTTACCAGAATGCTGCCAAAAGCTATGGCTACAGAATTAAGACTCAAGTTGTAATAACTCTTTATCTGAATTATCCTTATCATCATAGCCAAGGTCAAACTTTACACCATTACAGAAAAGACAGAATTACACACAATGTGATCTATACTCCTATATAACAGAAGGAAATCATGTCATATGAAACTGATATTTTAAGGATGAATGAATGGATCCAAAGATGAAACGAGCTGCTTTTTAGGCTTTAACGGGATAGTTCAGATTTTTGAAGTGGGCTTGTATGAGGTGCTTATCCATAGTCAATGTGTTATCTACAGTAGATAACAGTCAGCACATTCCCAGTTTGGAGAAGCAGGCTGGAGTCAGACACGGAAGCAAACCAATGTTCTGCCGTGGAGGGGTCATCAATAAAATGTATTTTAGCCACCAATAAAATGTGTCACCTAAAACAATCCATGGCTGTGTCTGAAACTGCCGGTTCTGACTTCCTGGTTGTGAGTGCAAGGGATTCCCTTCGGGCTGACGACGGAGGTCATCCCCAACTCACGAAGCTAGACTGTGCTACCCTGCTAGCTGCTATTTCGAACTTGTTGCTAGGAACTAAGAGACAATGTTGCTCAAAGCCAGTTTTTTATTTGTCCTCCTCTTGGGCTGTTTGGTCAGGACTCATTATGGCTCAACCATAGTCCTGCATTCCCGGGTCTGTTTGGATCGCTCCTGCCATTATGACAGTGCAGCCTCGAGCGCCTCTGTCAGGCCGCTGGGTTCTGCATTGTTACCCCAGCCTTTAACTCTCACCATTGAGCTATGGACTTAACACGTCTGCACAGCCTTATGTCTCTAAAAGACAATTTTACTGTTTCTTCAAGTTGCACTCGTGTCTTTGTATTAGGACTACATACTAAGAGAGATACTTTAATGAAACCACTAAGGTCTAATAGAGCTAAACAGAAATGGTTGATTGTTTTATTACTACTTACGTCTGGTAACGTGCAGCCTAATCCTGGTCCTGAGTTGCAATGTATTTTGACCCCAGCTGACTTTAAACATCTGTCTGGCTTAAGTATTATTCATCTTAATGTACGCAGCTTGTTATCAAAAATGGACATGGTTCGAATATGGGTTAATTCAACTGAGGCGGACATTGTTGTAATATCTGAAATTTGGTTAACAAAATCAGTTTCTGATTCAGATATTGACATTGCTGGATACAATGTTTATCGCTCTGACAAACCATGGAAAGGAGGCGGTGTTGCTGTTTTTGTCAAATCTAGCCTCCACACCAGGGTTGTTCTGTCTGAATCAATCGGTAAGCACTTGGAATTCCTGGCTTTAAATGTGGAAATTGCCAAAAACATCAACATAACTGTTGTTGGTTGTTATAGGCCTCCGTCTGCCTCAAAAGATGCATTGCATTCTTTGTCACACCTTTTATCCAGACTAAAGTACAATGAACTTGTTTTAGCTGGTGATCTAAATTGGGATTGGCTTAAGCCAGTATCTGATGAGTTCAAATCCTTTTGTGATTCTGTCAATCTTACCCAGCCGATTAACTCCCCCACTCGTTCAAATCTTAAATGTATTGAGAAGTCCACCTTAATTGACTTGATTCTTACAAATGTTCCTCATAGATTTTC